AAGTATCTCCTCTGAAAATAACTCTGTGAGTCATGACTGTCTACAATGGGTGTAACACCCGAGTCCCACTGTCTGTGATGTTTTCAGAGTTTTCAGAGTCCTATCTTCAGTTTGTTTACATCGCCGGGGACGGCCGGCTGACTCCTCCCCTCGTGTATAAAAGTTGTTTAATTGAGGGACTAGAGAAAAGAAGAATAACATACTGTACTCACTGCTTAACTGTGTTTCTAGATCACGCTTATTTCAGGTAAATTTACATGCAGTGTGAAGATACGAGCATAATAAAGATCGCTAGCATTAGCATGCTAACACAACAATGCAGCTCGAGTTGTTTTGGTTTCATGCTGGTGCTCAAGGGCGACATCTGCTGGATCACAAAATCGCATATAAAGCCTTCAAAGAATTGTGAACAGATGCAATAGGAGTGAAATAAGGGATTACATTTTTTCATGCATTCCACAGTAACGTCCAATCATTTATTTGAAGTGTCAAATAATCCCCAAACACAACGCATGTGGCTCTGTGTGCCAAAGAAACAAGACCCCGATCACAGGACACGACGTCCCCATGATTATAATCATGATACATGGAGCAGATTAGCACTAAGGCATGCTGTAAATCACTCATTATCATAGCACTAAACTTCAGCAAAAGGCCATCTGAGCTGATTTGCATGACAATACAAGCAAAAGCACACAAACAAATGTGGAAGTCGGCCTCGTATTGCTAACGAGCTCATGCAGGAATATGATTTGATCATTAAAAAACAAAGTGTGTCCCTTGGCCAGACACCACTTTTCCTGATGATCTTTGTTTTTTTCCGTCTTTGTCAAGCACTAACAAAAACACTGACACAACGATCACTTAGTCAGTGTGATTCCTAAATCGATTTACGGCCGAGGAGACCCCGCTGATGTTATGCATCATTCCACTGCTAATCTCACTTCCTTGGTCCGATGTGTTCATGCAGCCTCGAGGCGTCCGCAGAATTAGCTTCAGTTAATGGTTGGAGTTTGAATCCCTCTATAGTCACAACAAAATTAAGGAATGATACGGCCATGAATATTTCAGTTAAACTGCAGCTGCACAGGAAATCTGCTCGCACACTCCGCCCTGGCTTGCAAAAAAAAAAGAATCGGCGTTGGCATCCATTATTAATGCTTCGTCATAAAATTCATATTTTGCAGCGGCTGAATGGAGGCCTCTCTGCAGTGAGAATCCAATGAGCAGTCGATACCATCTCAAACTAACTTGCTGAACACACAGAACAGAGAGGCCTCTTTAAAAAAAAAACAACATTGCAGCTCACTGATGCATGTTTTTGTTCTGCTTTTATCACGCTCTCTCTCGCTGAAGGTATTCTTATTAGATCCCTTAAAAATAGATGTGAGGCTTTTCAAGTCAGTGAGTTCTTCTCGCCGCCTTCCCTCTGGAAGTTTTAATTAGAACAGCAGTCACTCGTGTTATCGTTGTGTTTCAAGAGGTCCGCTTCCACATTCCTGAGCTGCCCACTTCATCACAGGATCCGCAATGAGCCGACTTCTTTTAGGACGACTGACTCTTATTCACACTGGGTTTTAACCCGAGATTACCTCTGTTACTGAAATATATACGCTGACTTAATGGGATGGATTCATGTAGAGATATAAATCGTGCCTTTATGGACTGCGAGGCCCTTAAGGTTGAAAACAAAGAGGAGCTTTCCAGATATGTGCATCTGACACCTTACAGCATAAACATTAGAAATAGATCTGCATAAAGAGGTGTTAAAAAAAACACCTTTGAGCAGCCATATTGGATGTGTGTGGCAGCATTGGATGTATTGTTGTTGATGTTTCAGATGAGGAGCTGATTTCATACTTCAAGACACAGCTCACTGCTTTCAAGTGAAAACACAGCTGAAGGGCAACGTGAGGAACTACAGCCTCTGCCTGTTAACAATGAAGGAAAACAAATGAAATGTTAGAGTTTGGGAAAAACATCAGAGTCGGATACGATTGTGAAGTCTTGCATCTTTGTGCTCTAATGTGGTTGTTATTGTGTAAACTGGCAGTAGTGCTTTATTTGATCTTATAGCTGACATGTGCGACGTTGAAAACAAAATTCAATCAAGCAAAAACAAAAACAAACGTCCATATTTCCCATGAACGGCCTCGCTCAGTGAAAAAGTCAAATAATCTCATCATTATAGAAGATACACCAATCAGCCGTGACTTTGTGACATCCTGTGCAATCTAATGTAATCCAAGAAATCTACTTTACTTAACTTCTACAGTTTCAGTTTTTTGGTGTGGACAGGAAGGTGCTCGTTTGGGTGCCAGTGGCCTAGTGGTTAGTTTGTGCACACCATGTACAGAGGCTTAAGTCCACCAAGGCGGATCTCCTCTGCTCTCTCTCTCTCTCTCTCTCTCTCTCTCTCTCTCTCTCTCTCTCTCTCTCTCTCTCTCTCTCTCTCTCTCTCTCTCTCTCTCTCTCTCTCTCTCTCTCTCTCTCTGATTTCCAACCCTGTCTCTTGAATGAAGTCACACAAAGCCCAAAAATAAATCTTGAAAAAAGGAAGGTGAAAATTTGACTTTACATGTGTTGTTAAATGTTTAGTGGAGTGCATTATATTGGAAGGTGTTCCTAACAGTTTGCTCCACTCGTGTATGTCAGTGGCGTGTATCAGGAACAACTTTCAATATAATGAACTCCTGCAAACAACCACCCACCACTAATTCAATCATATCTAAACATATACAGTTATCACCTTTGTGACATTAGACTGTAAGGGGAAAAGCTTTGTAAAAGTAGAACTGATACCACACCTGTTGTATTGAATTGCATTAGATCGTATGGGTGATGGCTGATTGGTGGATATCACCTATAGGAATGAAAAAGAAATGTTATTTACTTATTTCTTCTATTTTTTCTTCGTTAACATGTCAATACCGAGCGGCAACCTCAGGTGCTGAAAAATGAAGCCGATGCAAAAGTGCAAAAAATCCTGCAGGACTTGCAGGGTCCACTTGAGGCTGGGCACAAGAGACCCAGAAGTCAAACACACACCTGTTCAAAAAAGCCTGATTTTACAGCAGAAACTAACATGTGCCTGGTACAAAAATGATATTGGTCAGATCGGTTATTTTCCTCCTGTGCACACACTGTATGATGGAATTCATTTTTGTGATTTTTTTTCTTTATAACGCATCCGTTCTGATTTTGAAAACAATACAAGTTATCCATAGTTAGATGTGTAGCTGACCTGATTGACAGGTGGGCGCGGTGTAACGGTTTGTTAGGAGGCTTAAAACCCCACCTCAGCTCTCAGCCTGTCGTTAGGTTGACTGAAAGTTAGACTGAGACAGCATTTCCAACATGGCGGCTGCTGCCAATCAGCCTCCAGAGCCCCCTGCAGGAAAAGACGGGTGACGTCACTCAGGCTTTGTGCGGTCAATACTAAAAGAAGTTGCAAAACCAAATTAACCACACTTGTTTTAAAGGGTTTGTTCATCCAAATGACAAAGATTTAGTCATCCCTTCCAAAACCATAGGTGAGAATTGGCTCTCTATTGTTGTTCAAAACATTTTAAAAAATCTGCATTTTCTATCATGTCTTTGCTGCTTTGTGTCATTTTCTCTATGAACTGTTTTTTTTTTTAAATAGTTTGTTCTGTTAGTTAAACTACTGGTGAAGCCTGCTACTATACACATGTGATCATATATTTGTGTTATGTGTTTTCATATGAGCTGTGCACTTGTATACTGATATAATTTGGGCTCAGACTCCTAATTTCATTGCCTGATTCGGTGCAGTGTGTTTATACGCCCCTCTCTCTGTTTTGACCTTTTATTGCCTCGGTGGAATCTAAATATATGAACGACATCTGGCTGGTGGAGCATCATGGGTGACTTTCATCTGGCAGCCAGTGGCCGTCATTACTGTAGGTTTTTGTTATGAGCTCTCATTCATTCAGGGGCAGAAAAGGAAGGTGAGGGAGGAGGGGGGAGTTCTGAATTGAATGAAGTGACCTATATCTGCACTCTGCTGCCCCCTGTCGAGAGTCCGCTCATGTTGTTTACATCCTGACTTACTGTAGTGAGTGTTTGTGTGGATTTTATTACACCATCTGACATCTAATAGGATTTGTACTCACTTGAGGTCTCATAAAAGGTTGTTTACTTCTTCCAGAATGCATAATTGTGCAAAGTAAACCGCCTTGTGATGCTAAATGAGTTATACAGTTTTCCAAGAGGCGATTTTCTACATGTTAAAACGGATTTAAAATGACACCTTTTAAACTTGCAAAATGCAATATCCATTTTTGAGCTAGTACAGTGTGATACTTGGAAAATATTTACAATTGTTATTTTTATTTTTATTTTACAAATAAACTCCCCTTTTGCTGATTTGTACTTTCCTATTGGAGCTGCAAATCTCTTCAGCAAGATGGAAACATGGAAACTTTTGCGTTTTCTTAATAGCTTGCTCTCTTATTGACTCGATTCTCACATAATAGGATGCATCAGCACAGATTATATCTCCCAGGACAGTGATAGGGGAGGCTGCTGTTTGGAACAAAGGGCCTCTCTGCTCCCTCCTGACTCACAAGGGGTTAAAGTGTGTGAACGCCCGAGTTGGCGTTGGCGCACTATATGATTAACGATATTGATTCACAAAACCTGCAGAATTGTAATGTTTTACTACCAAGGGGAAACAAAGAGCACAGCTATCCTGCTATAATTGATTGTTGCTTGCGCTGAAATATGTAATTAACTACTGTACGGTTTGTGCGCGATTCTTTTTTCGCTGCGTTTTTGCCCAAACTACTTTTTTTTATGAAAATGTCTAAATTCTTGAACAGCCAGAGTGGTGATTGATGTAGACAAAGAGCCAGCCTACTGGAAAACAAGTCTGTCCAAATGTGGCTTTGAAGAAAAGGAGGCTGCTTCAACCTGATCAGAAACTTGGTTTTTGAAGGGAGAGCGGCCCCGCCCTCTTGCTCCTTATAACCAGAAAGCCTGTTTGCTGGACGCTCAAACACAACAGGAACACTGGAGACCACGTCGCTGTGCATGAAACCGTTCCTGGAGACCAACTCTGGCTACAAAGACTTTACGGATTACTCTGGTTGTTTCACCCTGTGACCGCGAGCGAACGACCAGAAGTGACCATGGATTTTCTCAATCACAACTACTTGAATGCGCGCAGCCCCTATGACTACACTTTTAATTTCTGGAACGACTATCTCGGGCTGACCACGCTGGTCACGAAGAATAACAAGCTCAGCATGCCCCAGAACCCGAACTCCATCACCGAGTCCCTGAAAGCGACTTTGGGTTTGGATGATTCTCCTGCGTGTCCGTGCGTAATCGCGGGCGGCGTTGTTGGAGAGAGCGGGCACATCGACTGCTGCTGCCCGTCCGGGAGCCCCCCTCCGGCCTCCATCCTGGACTTGAAGGAGCGTTTCTCGATACTGAGCCCCTTCCAGAACCAGCTCGGGGTCCAGCCTGAGCGGGAGATGGGCTTCGGTGGAAGCTTCGCCGGGTTTGATCTGTTCGGCATGGAGAGGAAGATGCGTAAACCCGCCTCTCGGAGCAAGCAGGAGCCCAAAATCTGCGTCTTCTGCCGAAATAACGGAGCGCCGGAGGAGGTGTACGGCTCCCACGTCCTGAAGACTCCGGACGGCAGGGTCGTGTGCCCCATTCTGAGGGCTTACACATGCCCCCTCTGCAGTGCCAACGGGGACAATGCCCACACGATAAAATACTGTCCTCTGTCAAAAGACCAGCCATCCCAGCGACCATTAAAGGGAGGCAGGGCTGTGGGTGGTAAGAGGATGAAAATATTCTAAACATGACTATAAAGTAAAACGAATTGCACTGAACAATTTCCAGATGACTGTTTTGATTTAGCCTTTATCCCAGTTACATAAAACATATTGATTTTATCTTTTTTTCCCTCTAAGATCTCTTATATTTTTATAGTTCTTTTATCCACATAGAATAATTTTATGCTTTATACATTGGATTTATTTTTCTTGCTAGTTTGTAGTCATTTGAGCGCTTGCATATAAATATACATGTATGAATAATCACAAAGTGTGAATACGTTTAAAGACAAAATATTTTGGTCATGTAGGGAAACACACTGACATTGGCCGAGGGGATGAATGTCATATTTCAACAAGTATTTTTGTACGGTGAGCTAAGCTCGCCACTATTTTTCCTTTTTCTCGTCTTAGAAAACCAAAGTTATGTTTGCCATTAAAGAAGCTCAAGAATGTGTCATTACTGAGTACTTTGTGTGCGTCTGCCTGGAGAGGAGGAGGAGGAGGAGGAGGAGGAGGAACTCTTTTGATCCCATCTGCCCGCACTGAAAGAAAAAAAAACTCCACAGCATATTTTCCAACTTGCTCTAAAAGTTGACATTCAATCTGCGAGGCAGGAAGAAAAAAAAAAAAGACAATGTGGCCTCTGTTTGGAGCTCAGATTCTCCAGGGAGCATTATAATCAATTGTTGCCAAGCCAAACCTCTTTTTCCAATCTTCTGTTTGACTTTTTACGAGCAGTCAGAGATACTAGCCTTCATTTCTTTATGTTTACATTCCCAAATAAGGGTGACACACTGGATTTTCTTGTCTCTGTCAGGTCTCCTTTTTCTCTTTCTTTTTTTTGTTTTGTTTTTAATTTGCCCTGACAATGTATCCACCAGACAGGCTCATGGGCAAAGTCCCATTGACCTCTCCCTCTGAGAGCAAATGAATGTTAACACAAACAACAACAACAACCTGTTACATCCCATCATTTCACTGACTGAAGAAATCCCAAAAAAGATGCAAAAATGTTGTGAATGTATGATCGAGCGTGTCACTTGCAGGACTGCACATTTCTGACAGTTTTGTTTACCAAAGGAATACAATAGCATTGGAGAGACGAAGAGAGATTTGCTGTATTGTACATAAAGTGATGTTTTATTCAGTATTTTAACATTACAAGTGACTTCAGAGGGCGCTACCTCAACCACGATTTTGTACTTAACATGTCAAATGTCAACAGCAGTTTATTGATATAGTGCTGCCATTTATAATAAGGGGTTTTTGATAGTATTTTTGATCTTTGTATAACATAATTGTATTTTCATTTTTGTTGCATTTAACATGATGGAAGTGAATTTCCAAGAAGCTATAAGCATTGCTCACCACAAGGTGATTGTCTGTAAATAATGATTATGATGACCCATACTTTGGAAAAGTTTAGTTGTTACGTGTTACATTCTTGAGAGTGTGTGTGCCAGAGAGTGCATATTTGACAAAAAGGCTGACAAAAAATTTGCCACTTTTAACAAGAGGTTTTTTTGATTAAATGAATAATAGAAAAAAAAAAAAAAGAAACACTGTTGAACTTTGTTATTTATATTTTACCACAATTTCCTGTATGCTGCTGTGCAGAATAACAACATATGAATCCACTAGAGAAATAAAAACTTATCAAATATTTGCATCCATGTGGTTTTTGGTGTGTTTTTTTCTCAACACTGAATTTGGAAATATGAAACCCTTTTTATTTTAAAGTCTAAAACTTCTCTTCTACTGACTGATTGAGAGATTTACAGGAATGTCAACTAAAGCACATTTACAGGACTGGCCCCTCTCCCCCTCACTATACCCTGCTGACTGCCTCACTGCCTCACACAAAAAAACTGCATGTGGATAAAGTAAAGAAGTAGAAGCCAAAAAACAGGAAAAAAAACAACAACATCCCTTTAACCTTTGCTTTTGAAAAGTCAAGCTGATCCGGCATCGTCCAGATTTGTCTCTGCAGGACAAACACAGTGCCATGCTTGTTCGTCTTTGTCGCTGTTTAGGGAGGTCTGCCCACACACAAGAATGTCTTGGCTTATGCCTCACCATTCAAACGGATCATGTTTGCACTGAAGTGGATTGAATAGCTGGCCCTTCTCTCTCTCTCTCTCTCTCTCCGCCTGCCATCTGTGGAATGGCTGCTGCAGACATATTAAGGGGGCTCAGAAAAGGCAGGAAGCTCTGCTGCTGCTGCTGCTTCTTGTTTTTTTGTACACTGTTGTGCAGCTGTGAGGGCTTATGACTTGGTTGTCTTACAAAATGTCCCGTCGAATGAGGGAACAATAAATAGAATCAGATGAAGCTCATGAATGGGCTTCACTGTCTGCGGCCTGATTCACCAGCAAAACAACCTCAGACGTCGGTAATTGCTGTTGACGTGGAGCATACAGTAGAAAAAAAACACATCAAGTGTCATCCACACCTTTAGCTCTCCCTCCCTCCCTCCCTCCCTCACTCCGCTCCCCCCTCCTCCTCTGTCTGTCTTAGCGCCTCTCTCTCCAGCTGAGGCTGCAGCATTAAAAATGGATGACTACTAAGTGCAACAGGGATTTATCTCTGTGAGAACAGCGGTGAAAAAAAAAAAAAAAAAAAACCCTGACTGGGCTAGCATTTCATACACATTGCAAACACAGTCGGCTAACAGGTCTTATTCCCTCAGAGCACACAGCCTCCATTAGCCGCTCTGCACACACAGGGCCCCGGCTAATCTATTTAGAAGCACCATTTATGAGATATGTATCTTTCATGACCGTATAATATGTCTTAGCTGGCTGTTTTTCTTTGAGCCAGAATGCAATTTGTGTGCACAACAAGTCCCACTGCAGAGAGAAGAAGTGAGGCAGGATTGTTTTTTTACGACGAGTTTCAAAGCAGTAAAGTTTTTTTTTTTTTTTTTTTTTTTTTAAAGATGATTGAGGAAACTGTTTTAATTAAAGGTGGCATTATCGGTCAGGTGTTGACTCAGAGTCATTATCACCGTGAATCCCCCTCTGGCAGCTGATTAAGATTGAGCTCATGCTCTGCAGCAGTAGAGTTAGTCTTTGCTGTTAATGTGATTTAGACGACTCATTAATTCACACTGCTCAACGTTATGGTGGCGACACAGAGCGCTTTCCTGTTTAAAGTGCTATACTAAACACACAGTGGAGCAGTTGTTCCTGACCACTACATCTTAATTTGTTGTGCTCAGCTTCTCTGTCCTGCACCCTGTTCTTAAAACTGGAGCTCTCCATGATATAGCTCCATCATACCTCTCTGCAGAGGAAACACTGTGACTGTGGCTTTCTGCAGGCTGTACAGATATACCCGACTAAAAGATGACACTTTTTTACGACATGTATTTACAGAATACTGATTTCAAAGATGTTTTTTTCTTGTTGTTTACATCCATTTCTAATGATGTTAAAGTTTTAAACTTCATGTGTAGCTGCATCTTATCAAGCCCTCAGTTAGGAGAGCTAATTAAAGCTATGCAAGATAACAGAAGAGACACCCCGGTGAGAGTCTAATTTAGTCAATAAACTAGCTTGACATCCTGTTTCCAGGTAAAAACGCCCTCAAAAGTATAACTTATCGTATTCCCTAGGGTTTCATGTATTATTCGTGATGTGCAGTAACACAGTGACTGATCTTTAACTTCACCTATGAGGTCATTTTAAATGATTTTATCCTCTGTTTATGTTTGCAGTATATGATCGAGTGACCATTTGGAGTGGAAGAATTTGGCTGTTCTAAGTACTTATGCATTATGATGAGCTTTTCACTGAGTATTTTTAAGTACTCAACTGCAGCCCTTAGTGGCACAGTTTACAGGAAAGGAGGTGGGATGATTAGACTTTGAGGTGGGGGAACAACAACTGCAGCTGTAGACAGAGGTCTTGTTCTATGAATAAGACCAAAATGTCTCTTATTTTTAAAGTGTTTGGGTACAAGTCCGACCTCTGGCTCTTTTGCCGCATGTCATACTGAACTCTCTCTCCCGATGTCCTACTCTATATCCAAAAGAGAATATGATGATTTTCAAAACATTGAAACCTCATATTTCAAAAAAGGACAACCGATCCAATGTTAAAAGTTTAAAAAAAAATTATGTTTTGGGGAAAAATAAATGTCCAATTCTGAATTTTAAAGGCTTTATATGTGATTTTTCACACTTAAATATAATATAAATCAAGTATATCCTCTGAAAATAACTCTGTGAGTCATGACTGTCTACAATGGGTGTAACACCCGAGTCCCACTGTCTGTGATGTTTTCAGAGTTTTCAGAGTCCTATCTTCACTTTGTTTACATCGCTAGGACGGCCGGCTGACTCCTCCCCTCGTGTATAAAAGTAGTTTAATTGAGGGACTAGAGAAAAGAAGAATAACATACTGTACTCACTGCTTAACTGTGTTTCTAGATCACGCTCATTTCAGGTAAATTTACATGCAGTGTGAAGATACCAGCATAATAAAGATCGCTAGCATTAGCATGCTAACACAACAATGCAGCGCGAGTTGTTTTGGTTTCATGCTGGTGCTCAAGGGCGACATCTGCTGGATCAAAAATCACATATAAAGCCTTTAAGTCAGCAACACCTTAAAAAAAACTGTTTTGACAGTGTTAAAAAAAATGACTGGAAAAGTTGTGAAATGCTAAAAGAAAACACTGAGTGCAACATCTCATAATGAATAAGGTTGCCTGGTAACAGGTTAGTAACATGATGGGGTATAAAAAGATGAACCCAGAGAGGCTGAGTCGCTCTGAGGGAAATGAGCTGGAGGATAGCAAGATTCAAGAAAAACCTTTCCCAACGTAACATTGCAAAGAATCTAGGGAATGCATCATAATATCACTAAACAGATCCAGAGAATCTGAAGAAACATCTGCTCGCACGCAGGGGACAAATATTTATATCTTCTTCTGAAAGATCATGATAAGCATATGAGTATAATGTGGCAAATTCTGCGTTTAATTAAAAGCAGCTTCTAAAGGGAGGAAACAGATGCAGAGGGGAGTCACAGACGGATATTAAAAAAAAAAAGATACTCGTAATAAAAAAAATAAACTATCCACATCTTAGAAATGTAAATCCATGTGTGCACTTCATTTCCTCTTCACACAAACATTTGGACATGCTCATTGTCTCTTTTTTCAGTAATACAGAAATCTTCTTCTCTGTACCCTCAGCACTTTAATTGCATTAGCTCCTGGTTTGAAATGTCTACATTCAATTGCAATAATTCCTTTTTTTAGTCTAACTGTGATGGTGTTGTTTTTTTATCATCTCTTGTTGATCCATGAGGAGTCAAATTTTAGATTTCACCACCAAAATCTTCACATTTCCACATTGTGTTTGCTTCATACTTTCTTATACTGCCATTCAAAAATGACTCAATCTGACAAAAGGCCTTTTTTCTTCATTGACCTCTTTAACAGTCCTGAAGGTATATAAGATGTTAGAGAGAAGGGGAATTCATGTATGGGTCCCATCGGCTCTCAGAGAACAGGTATAGATGATCAATTAATGAATCAAACTTTATTTGTATAGCACTGTTCAGACAACAAATGTATCCCAAAGTGTTTTACATCAATACATACTGTAAATGAAACAACAACAACATGACTCACTCCCCCACCCCTATCCCACAATCCAAAAACTAAGATAAAAATAACTCGATAAGAACAGGTACTGAGGAAACGCTATCATTCAGTTTAAATGAGGAAACACAGGAGGTTCAAAATGTAATAAAACTAGATGAAATGAGATTCAGTTAAAATGATTTACAGCTCTGTTCATTGTCTCTTCATGCTGCAGAAATATGAAGGTTTTAAAGTATTTATGATATTGTTGTTGTCTTGTGAAAACCTGGAAAATGCAACACTCCAAACGCCAGCTCTGTTAACCTCTGCATGCTGTGTAATAGAGCTAAAACCTTCACATATTTCTGTCTCTTTATGCAGGACAAAGCAAACACTGCAGGTCTCTGCTAAATGACCTAATGGTCCATTTGCATGTTATCCTTCTCTTTTATTAACCCACACATGACAACAGTGTGGACGCCTCATTATGACTTACAGATCTGTAGAATCTTTTATTGGTCCCTTCATTTCCCAGAATACACTTGTAAAAAAAAAAGGAGGCCTCTGTCGCCTAGCAACTCCTGGGAGGGAAATGGGCAGCAGCTGTAGAATGAGAGTCGCTCCATGAAGAGGATAGCATCTCCAGCCTTCACATCTCATGCCTTATTGGAACATTTGGTGCAGGTTTGATTTTTAATTTAGAGGATAAGGATTCTTAGCATGAATGTTACTGCCCCGTGTGGTGACCAACGGTATTACAAAAACAATCATATACCTGTTTTTTTTTTTTTTTTATGACACTTCCTTCTCTGTGTTATTCGAAGGCGCTCATGTGGAAGAAATCAAAATGACGAGTGTGTTGTTATTGAACTCTCCATCAGCATCACGGGAGCTGACCGTTCGCCGGGCTCTGCAATAACCGCCCTGTCCCCTCCGAGGGCAGATTACAGCTTTGATGCCCTAATTGAAATTTCACAAAGGATTTATTTGAAACCAAAACCCGCCGCTGTTTAAGTGAGGCGGACAGGTTATTAAGTTTCTTTCCCAGCATGAGCAGCTTTACTTCTCAGTGGC